CTCACCCTCCGCATCTCTGGCCTGTACCCCAGTTCTGTATGAATAAATAAATCTTAAAATAAATAAATAAAAAATAGATGTATATTTAATAAGAAGCAAGAATAACCTCTTCCTTCTTGTCTTCCTGATCTGAATAAAGAAAATGCCCGTTCTATTTATTTTCTAGATTCATTCTGTCTCTAGACAAGCACAGAGGATGATGTCCATACCTCCCAGAGCTGCAGTTCTGTGTTGAATGGTTCTGCTATGCTGACAATCCGGCCAAGGTTTCTGTCGTTGATTGTGAATCTGAAGAGACATGGAGGGAAGTAAGTGCAAGTGCAAGTGGCCAGAATAACCCCTTCTGTCTATGCACACATTTCCTTTTTGTTGAGTGAGCTTGTAATAAAGTGACTTTCAATGTAAATAAACCAGAGTCAGACATCACATTTAAAATGATTCTTCTGAGGCTAGTCTGAATCAGTTCTGTGCTTCTCTTTGGAGGGGTCCTCACGGCCCTTCCTCATGTGGGCGACAGCTTGGCGTCTTCTCTAACTCTGCCAACCCCCCTCCCCGCCCCAGACACCACTAGACACCACCTGCCCCCAGCCTCCCTCACAGCTGGGTGGAAACACGTGACTAGATTCTGACCGATGAGCCAAAGGAATCCTGCCCCGCCTTGCTTAATTAAGGGGTATTGCTTGTAGTAAGTAGACTTGCTATCCCTCTTCTTTCAAGTTCCGGCCACACAAATAAGATGTGCACTAGGCTTCCAGGGCCGGAGCTGGAACTACCTAACATCTTGAAATCAGGTCAGAGGCTGACCTGAATGAGAAATAATCATTTATGTCTTTGAAGCTGTTGCACCTTGTTTCTGTTACGGCAGTACGGCAGGGGGCGCTATCTCCTCCATGGTAATACTCTGCATCTTCCTGTAGGCACTGAGATTCGAACATCGGCAATTACTCTGCTTTCAAATAGACTGACTAGCTGCTAGCTACCTGCATATTTGCGATGATGATCTGTATCATCTAGACAACTAAGAGCACTTGCAGCTGAGATAGAAACTTAGAACTCATATTTTTATTTTCTCTCTAACTGAGCAAGAATCAGACATTTGTTTACAGACCATAATACAAACGATTGTGGTGTGCGTGTGTGTATTTTTTCCTCCTAACAGCTAACACAGTGGAATAAAAACAGTAACAAAAATTATTTTTAAAACATGAACCAGGGCCCTCCCTGGTGGTGCAGTGGGCTAAAGCCACTTCAGTATGAGTTTGGTCCAAGCCCGGGAGGTGGCCCACATGGTGCAGCAGACCTCTCCTGCCTCCGCCCACTGCTCCCCTCAGCAGTGTATTTCAGTAGATCTGCCTATTCTGTTCCCTATTCTGTTTCTGGTGAATATTCTCACCTACCATACCTCTGGCCTGTACCAAGTTCTGTAAGCATAATTAAATAAATATTAAAAAAAACAAAACTGCAGCTACCTATATAAATACCTATATAAATATTTACCTATATAAATATAAGAATGAAACAATTTCATATGAGAAACTCTTTCATTAAAGAGTAATATTTATGGGGAAATGTACTGTATATTTATCATACTGATTACTTTGAAAACAAAGATAAGTATTTAATTATATCTCAAGTATTTTGAAAACTATATTACCTAAAATTCACCTTTTTGGACTTAATATTTACATAAGTATTATTACATCATCCAAAAGAAATGGTTTTGATGCACACAAAACTTGTACTTGCTTTTTGAATTATTTTGTTTACAAGGTAGTGTTTAAGTGGTTTCAGACATGTCTCACTGACTTAATTTTTCATCCACAGTTATTAATTAAGCCCAGATATGATTACACCATATATTATTGATTTATTGCATTCATTTGACTTCACAGTTTTTTCTAAAAGTTTAGAGGAATAAATAAAAGCAATGAATAATTTCTGAAGTATCTTTGGAACTTTACAGTTAAATCTCAGATTGGAAAGGATACTAGTGATGTAGATATCACGTCATAAAAACACATGGTGGGGCCTCCCTGTTGATGCAGGGGTTAAAGTTCAGCACTATCAAACTATCAGCAAGCCACTGTAGCCCAAATTAGATCCCCACCCAGGGAGCTGACCCACATGGCACAGACCTCTCCTGTCTTGCCCATTGCTCCCTCAGCAGTGTATTTCAGTAGATCAGCCTGTTCTGCTCCCCACTTTGTTTCTGGTGAGTCATCTTACCCACCCACCCCCCAGTTCTTGTATGTCTAAATAAATAAAATAAAATTTAAGATCACATGGTAAAAGTTTATTAAAAAGTTGCTTCTTTAAGATGATAATAAATTGTCAGAAATGGAGTCTGTAAAATCATTCATTCTGAAGTTTGGAGGACATTCAAGAGTTTGGAAATATTTGGATAAAACTGACTCATTTAATTTGGCTTATCCAACTTTAATAGAGAAATTCTATTTATTCAAACTAACCACAATTAATATTGATTGTTTTTTTGTGTGTCTGAAAATGTGGTTATATATAGTTTTGTGTTTGAGGCTATTTGGAATAAGACCTCATGGAATTAGATCATTAGACTATGAAGAAAAGCTAAAGCCTTGAGCAAGGGTTTGGAATTTGCATTGGAAATAGCTTACCAATTTATTTTTCTTAAAAAAATTCAGAATTTGGTCTAATAGGTTTCTTTTAAGGCCAGATGTTTATAATTTTAATGATAAGGTAATACTTGTTTTTTTTCCTACTTATTTCTTAATAGGTATAAAAATGAACAGTGTTTTAAAGTGAAAAAAGGGACAACTTAAAATAAATATAGCCAGAACTATTCCAACAAGCTTCCAGAAATACTCTGTTTAATAAACAATAAGGGAATGCCAAGCCATTATGCATAATAAAACATTTTATATCTTCTCACAATAATTTGAAAGGAGGCATTGTTTTTCATTACATATATTTCTTGTAATCTCAATTCTCATTCAGCTCTCATTAAATATTGAAAATTAAATATGCACCTGAACCATATACCAGAGGCATTTTGCAGGGGTGGAGTGGGGAATGGGATCAAAAACAGGGGGGTGAGGAGGGAAATGCACGGGATTATGGTGATGGCACACGGGTGACTTGGTGATGGGAAACCTGCGGCGATTACAATTGAGATGGAAAAAAAATGTACAAAATGATGTAAAAATAAACTTTTGTTTAAAAAAAAAATGCACCTGACCTTATCTAAGTGTTAGTACAAACAGCAGAACTATATCGGTATGTTTTTTTTTTTTTAAAGATTTATTTATTTGTGCATACAGAACTGGGGTACAGGCCAGAGGCTCAGGGGCGGCGAGAGGCTTCACCAGAGACAGAGTGGGGAGCAGAACAGGCAGATCGACGAAGTACACTGCTGAGGGGAGCAGCGGGCGGGTCAGGAGAGGTCTGCCACACCATGTGGTCACCTCCGGGGCAGGCGGGAATCGAACTCATGCGGAAGCGGCTTTAGATTCTCAGTGCTGTGCTTTAACCCGCTGCGCCACCAGGGAGGGCCACTATATCGGTATGTTTTAACCAAATTAAAAATAACACAGAGGCATCACTGGTGGTGCACGGCTTAAAGACACAGCACTATCAAGCAGTTACCAGCCACTGAAACCTAAGTTTGATCTCTGGCTGGGGAGCTGACCCACATGGCACAGCAGACCTCTCCTGCTTCAGCCACTGTTCCCCTCAGTAGATCTACCTGTTCTGTTCCCCACTGTGTCTCTGGTGAACTCTCTCACCACCCACACCTCTGGCCTACAACAAGCTCCTGTATGTATAAATAAATAAATCCTTTTTTTTAAATATTAAAGAATAAAAATAACACAATTTAGTTACGTCTCTGGATTTCAGAATTCTGTAGGTCGATTCGAAATAAGACTTTCCAGGGAAAATAATTATGCTAAAATCAACTAGCTCATTGCTTTCCTCCTAGAAGGAAAATACTACGATCTCTTACCTTTGATAATGTGCCTTTTCAGACATGGTATAGATGTCAGAGAAAGTTCAGCAACGAGAAAAAGAAAGAATGTGTACAGGGATCGGACCAAGAGAACAGCAAACCACCCTCTAATTGTCCCACCTGTTGACGAGATACTCCCAGTTGAGCTGTATCCATTGCCAGGCCATGGTTTTCCCATAGCGGTTATATGAGATATACCGGATGACTGTAAACACATCCTGACTTTTAATAATGTCTGGGTTCTTGAGTAAATCCAAATACCTGAGAGAAGTCAAACAGAAAAAAATTTTTAAACTGAACTTTTAATGTTCACCCTTAGCTATTTCCCATGGAACATAGCTTTCCTTTTGATAATTCCATTCCTAAGTCACCAACTGACAATGTTAATGAAATATAGCAAATAATAAAACAATTTAAAAGTGTGCAAAGTAGTTGACTATTTTAAAAGAACAATTTATGATGTTGAGCACTAGTAAAATATAAACAACCTTTAAAGATGGAACTATTTTAGAATTACTAAAAATAATTTAAAAGATAATTTCAACCTTAATATGAAAAATAGTTGCACTTATTGAATATAAAATTTTCACCCATTTGCCGATTATTCCACAGAAATAAAAAAGAAAGTAGCTAGAAATTAAGGGAACATATTTATATGCCTTCTTTCTACAGAGTAATACTCAAGGCTTGTTTCCTGTTCTCTACATTTTCAGAAATACTGTGTATGCTTAGATTATTTGGTTATAATTATAGTATACCTAAGTTCAATAAATATTAAACCACAGCATAATGTCAGAGCTGTATTTAGAGACTACCTTGACACGCAGTAGACCACTGGAGAGTAGGCCTTTGAATTTTTGTTTAATAATTCATCTTTCCCTCTCTTTTACAAGTAAGCCACCTAAGCAGTCTTCCTGTTGTCCTCCCCACCCCCATCTGATCAATCAGTACAATGCCATCAAAGTAATGGATCAAAGTGATGATTTGAAGATTATCAAGATGATCAGGTTCTCAATAGACTATCCTAGGGCAGAGAACAAGAGAGTGATAACTAGCCGTGAGGCAAAATGGTGAAAGACCCTGGTGGTCTGCCTCCCTGGTGGTCTTGGGGTTAGGAGTCAGTACTATCATGGTATGGCCTGAGTTCGATCCCCGGCCAGGGAGCTGACCCACATGACACAGCAGATCTCTCCTGTCTCCCCGCTGCTCCCCTCAGCAGTGTATTTCAGTAGATCCATGTGTTCTACCCCCACCCCTTCTCTGGTGAATCCTCTCACCACCTGACCCCCACTCCTCTGGCCAAACACCCTAGCTCCTATATACATAAATAACTACAATAAAAATTAAAAAAAAGTCTTTTTTGGCTCACAGTTGACTGTGGGTCACTAAAACTGCACAAAGCAAAGCAACAGATGGCGGGGGCTGTTGGATATTTTCCTGTGTGTTTGTGTGTTTGTGTGTGTACACATTATAGCAGACATGCCTCCTCTGATGACAGAGCCCATTCTGCTCTGGCCTTGAGTCCTAGCACTCTTGGTGCTACGGAAGGTCGAGTGAGACCTCAGAGTATCCTGACAAGTTCAAGTTCATCCTACTCAAATGATCAAATGTTGGATCCAAAGCGTAGCCCACAAAAGTCAAGTATGGTTCAGCACTGATTATGGAGTTGGGGGGTGAAGATAAAAGACAGAGGTTCTGGAGCTGGCACTCTCTTGATTCTGTCTTCTATCAAGCATATTTGTGCCACGACAAAATACTTGGCGCTCTGAAGTCATGAGACAGGTAACATGTCGAGAATGGTACAACAGGAAGAGCAGGGTCTAGAACCTGGATGACAATGTGGAACATGGAGTCCACCTACTGCCAGAATAGTTCATACGAAGAAACGTATCCTGGTTGTTTCCAATAACTCTAACATGGATTTTTTTTTCTGGGAAAATAATCTTTCATTGTGTCTTAGAGACACTAAGACAACAAACCATCAAATATCATCCATATAAGTGAAATAAAAACCCCAGCTTACCTTGACAAAAGAGTAATATTATTCACCGATGCTAACCCATACAGCAGTTTTTCTTTCTCTTGTGCCAATGAGGTATTTCTATATTCCTGGAGCATGATGTTCCAGGAAGTTTCATTGCCAGAGTTCTGCATGCCGTACCGATACACCAGAAGCCTGAGATTCACAGGAAGGCTAGAAGAGGGACGTGACTTTCAGAGAGAGTTTTCCATCTAGTAGACTGTATTTTTTAATGAACTTAATTTCTTTCACAGCCTTAGGTTGCTTTTTTTTTTTTTAATTTCCTACTGCCTCATGTCTCCATTTAAAGTCTTCTCTCAATGAAAACATGATGAATAATTACCTCTTTCTCTCACTTAGCCAATTCTGAAATAACTGGGAAGCGTTGTCCAAGGCCTCTTGGTCTCCCATCTTACATGCGAACCCCAACACTGAGGCCCGGAGCATCCTGAGGAAGCAAAGACACAGAAATGGTGTCTGGTGAAGTTTCAACACTTCTTCATGTGCACAAATGTTAAATCAATGTTAGTCTTAAAATAGTAAAAATAGGCCCTCCCTAGTGGCACAGCGGGTTAAAGCACACCACAAAGAAGCTAAAGCTACTTCAGCATGAGTTCGATCCCCGCCTGCCCTAGAGGTGACCCACATGGCACAGCAGACCTCTCCTGGCCCGCCCGCTGCTCCCCTCAGCAGTGTACTTCGTCGATCTGCCTGTTCTGCTCCCCACTCTGTCTCTGGTGAATCCTCTCACCCTCTGCATCTCTGGCCTGTACCCCAGTTCTGTACGAATAAATAAATAAATCTTAAAAAAAATAGTAAAAAATAACCTTTGGAGGTGTTTTCCAGTATCTTCCCATTTCAGATCATCTGCAATGGGCTTCACTTGGCCTTGGAAGTATTTCTAAAATAAAAGCACCAGGTACAATGAATAAGTACAGTTTACACTGTATCAAGTTTCCTGCATCTCTCTCCTGCTTTTGCCATCTTGTTTCCTATTGGTTCAGGGAACCGAGGGCCCATCCTTTTTGCAAAGGGATATTACCAGTTCTTAGTATATAGCAATTTTGCTTGAGTCCTGAAGAGAAGACCATTGGGGATCTTTATCTAAACCTTTGGGTAAGCCCCTTTAAGCCTCCAGTTCTTAGTTAATATATGTAATAGGGTGCCCTCCCTGGTGTCTCAGGTGGTTAAAGCTCAGCACTATGAAGCTATTGCAGCCACTGCAGCATGAGTTCAATCCCTGGCCAGGGAGCTGACCCACGTGGCACAGCAGATCTCTCCTGTCTCCCTGCTGCTCCCTTTCAGCAGTATATTTCAGTCAGTCGGCCTGTTCTGCTCCCCACCTATCTCTGGTGAATCCTCTCATCCCCGTACCTCTGACCTGTATGTGTAAACAAATACATCTTTTAAAAAAGAAAAGAATAGCTAGCATCTCTTTGTTTTGTCTAGGCAAGTTACTCAAATTCCTGTGACTTCGCTGCACAGACAGAGATGCTGTATGTCCCTCAGTAGCTCTTTCTCTCAGAAGTCATCTCCTGCTATTAGTAGCTAAACGTTGACTTTTCTAACATACAGCATTAACCTCACCTCAATCTGAGGGTACAGCTCTTTATCATCTTCAAACATGCTGATGATATAGTTCACAGCTGAAATGAGTCTCTGCCATGGCAAATAAGTCCGTTCTGCTGTAAGATACTTGGTCAAGTTCAAAGCACTCTCATAACCCAGAAGCTCAGCTCTAATAAATAAATGAATAAATAAGGAAAACATTCATTAACAAACAGGTAAGTTTGGGCTCTCCGTGGTGGTGCAACAGGTTAGTTAAAACATTGTACTATGAAGTTCTCAGAAGCCACTGCAGCACGAATTCAATCCCCAGCAAGGGAGCTGACCCACATGGCATGGCAGACTCTTCTGACCTGCCCAGTGCTCCCCTCAGCAGTGTATTTCAGTAGATCTGCTCCCCACTCTGTCTCTGGTGAATCCTCTCACTGACCCTGCACCCCTGGTCTGTACCCCAGCTCTGTATGCATAAATAAATAAATCTTAAAAATAAATAAATAAATAAAAGGGTTGTGACAAAATCCACAGTATTTTAAACAATCTAATCTCACCCCAAAACCCACCTTGCCAAGGCAAAAGCATCATCAATGAGACTTGCACGGTCAGCTGGAGAAAAGTCCTGGAGATAAAGGAAAGGAGGTAAAAAACATGACCTTAAAGCAAAGCAGGTTGAAAAAAATGAATAGCATTAAGATGCTATTTGTTGAGCAAAAATAAAACAATAAGGTTGTTGCTTCCCTTACCTGGAGGCTGGTGGTAAGATTGGTAGCTATTGTATCCCAAGTTGATTTTTCATAATTTACGCGATAAAATCCAATATGATCTGGGTTTATTTTGACAAAACCTCCACTAGGATTAGGTGTCAAAGTGATGCCTGCTGTGGTAAATAAACACTAATGAGAAAGGTGTTTGTATACACTGTAAATAGAGAAGCTGGACTCAGAGGGTTAAAAAAAAAAAAAAAAAGACACATTGTCTCAAGGACTCAAGTTTGATTTGGATCCAAAGCCCCAACCTCAATTCTTATTTAGTTGTTCAACTTGGGAATGTTGCTGTAGTGTATGAGGTGAAAAAGAAATAAGCTATGTGAATAACTGTCCCTCAATGGGTGACCTCCACTCCCTACTGACAGAAGCTTCCCAAGTGGGTGAAATAATTCTGTGCTTGCAATCCTTCAGCAAAAGAAAATAATGCCTAAAGACAGAAGTTACTGCCTTCCAGGGCTAAGTCACATATTCCTAATCACGATGGACTCATTACAAAAAATGTTCACTGAAGAGCAGTGTGGGATGGGGATAAATATGTAAACTTTTAAGAGAATACATTGTCAGTTCAAATCAAAATTCTAATCAATGGAAATCACTATTGTTAAGCAGAATAATGATTTGAGGATCATAATGCTTTTAAAATGTCAAAAGCACATGCAGTAGAGCTGAAATCCAGACACAGTTTTGATTTTGTGGTGCACTTCAGACTTTCTTTTCCAATTTTATTTAGCTTTACAAAGTCATCTACTTCCTCATTTCAACTGATTCCATCTATGTCTTTCTATCCAAGGGTTTACCAAATGAACTTTCTTTCTAAAGCTGCAACCAGTATTTCCAAAGGGCTCTAATATATAGATTTAGAAGCTCAATGTTGAAAGAATAGAAGCTGGCCCTCCCTGGTGGTACAGAGGGTTAAAGCACAGCACTAAGAGGTGAACGGCACTTCAGCATGAGTTCGCTCCCCAACCCAGAGGTGACCCACATGGTGCGGCAGACCTCTCCTGACCCGCCTGCTGCTCCCCTCAGCAGTGTACTTATTCAATCTGCCTGTTCTGCTCCCCACTCTGTCCTCTGGTGAATCCTCTCACCACCCTTGCACCTCTGGCCTGTACCTCAGTTCTGGACGCATAAATAAATAAATCTTAGAAAAATAAAAGAGCACAAACTTATAATTCAGGTTAAAAAAAAAATCAGTTAAGGGCCTCTATGGTGGCCTAGGGGTTAATTCTCAGTGCTATCACCTCTATGGCCTGAGTTAGATCCCTGGCCCCAGTGCTGACCCACATGGTCACCTACTGCTCCCTTCAGCAGTAGAATTGCCTGCTCTGCTCCCTACTCTCTCATGGTGAACCCTCTAACCCGCCGCACCTCTGTCTAGTACCCTCGTTTTAGGCAAAAAACCCAAAAATCCCAAAACCCGCTTACTTGATAATTAAGCTGTGACAATACCAGTGTTGGTTAAACTCACTTCTGTACTTGTAAGTCATATACTCTTTTGTTTGCAAGGAGGAAACATACAACTTGAACAATGGTGTGGGAATAGTTAGTATATTTGAGGAATTGTGCATGGTGACAGTGCAGTGTGTGATACTGGAAAAAGGCAAGGGGGAGAGCCATGAGCCACAGTGAGGAGTCCTTCTGAGAGAGGTGAGAGATAGATTTTTTTTGGTTTGTTTGTTTTAACTTCCTCATTTATGTATTTATTTATGCACACAGAACTGGGGTACAGGCCAGATGTACAGGGGCGGTGAGAGGCTTCACCAGAGGCAGAATGGAGAGCAGAGCAGGCAGATCAACGAAGTGCCCTGCTGAGGGAAGCAGCAGACGAGCCAGGAGAGGTTTGCTGCGCCAGGTGGTCACCTCCGGGGCTGGGGATTGAACTTGCACTGAAGCAGCTGTGGCTAGCTTGCAGTGCTGTGTCCTAACCTGTTGCGCCACCAGGGAGGGCCTGAGAGACAGATTTTTAAGCAGGAAAATAGTCCACCTGTCCATTTTCTAGAAAGTGATAATAGCATTTAGGAAGTCTGTTGGAAGGAGATCCTGGAATTGACTGAAATAAACTAGCGGAGAGAGAAGGGATTAGATCAAGGTGGAGATGATGAAAACAGAAAGATGTATTCAAGAGACACATCACAGGAAAAATCATCACAACACATCAGGCCCTTTCAGGCCCAATGAGGATGGTTAAGGAGGGAGCGCAGCTGGCATGACCGGATAAGTAACATGTTGCCATCAGAGACAAGAGGAAGGTGAGTCAGTTTGGGAGGAAAGATGATATAAATTTTGGAAGTGTTTGCAAAACTGGATGGTCTCCAGGACACGGTAGTTTTTCATAATATATGAGTAAGCTCTTCAACAAGACAATACGTTTCTTTAGGAACTTTCAGAGTAGGTACTTGACAAATTATAAACCTTTACCTCACTCACGTAATATTTATCTTTCTTTGTCATTCTCCCAGAGACATGTTGTTGAAAGGAAACTAATCCTTTGGCAAGCGTGTATGTTGAATGTTTGCATCAGGAGGGAGGCTCTTGCTAAGTACAGAGCCGTATGTTATAGGAGAAGGAGCATGAACTTTCGAGTCTGACAGATCTAGGCTAAAACCCTCGTTCTGTGACTTACTAGCTGTGTGACCTTGGCCACATCGCTTCACCTCTCTGTGTCCCAGTTCACCAATAGGGAAAGAGGGAGAAGCGTCCCTCACAAGGCTGTTGTGAGGATTAAATAAGATAACACAGGTAAAGTACCGGTCACCCAGCTATGTGTCCAGCGATGCTAGCCATTCCCATCATTATGAAAGAGGATCTGCTGCCAGCTCTATAAATAGCGAAGCAAATATAAATAACATTGAGAAGTTCCTGGCAATCCATCTAAATACTGCAGCATTTTAGTGTGCTTTATATATGCCTAGTTAAGCCTGTCTAGAGTTACTGTGATTTTTCTCACTTTATGGATGAGGAAGCTGAGATCCCGGAAGTCAGTAGTTAGGCCCTTTCCAAGTTCACGCTACTTTCAGAACAGTTGTCAACAGCGAAAGCCTGCGGGGCTGTGTCATTACATAGTGAAGTAAGTAGGACCGAGCTACTAAAGCTGGTTGCAGAAGGGAGGGCATCTGTGCCTTCTCTCTCCCCATTTACTAACTTCTTTCTGATTAGGACAGCATGTGTTCCTTGTGGTTCCAAGTAGATATATTTGGAAAACACAAAAAAACCTTCTAAAGAAGAATATAAAAATGACCTACTACGCTTAACGATTGGCCCTTATCTCCTGTGCACGTGTCTCTTTCGTATACAGGCACACACAGAAAACACGTGCTGGGTGGGACTGTCTTACTACTAGTAATCCTTTTTGACTGAAAGTGAACCCTAAACATGCAATTTCATTATGGATGAAAATGCTTATCTAATGGTGACATAATCCTCTATCTCTCAGCGCGCAAATTTTGTTCTCAATCTTGCTCACCCCATGTATAAAACTGTTGAATTCTTTCTGAATAGGGTTTTTTCTAGGAAAGTCTTATTTTTCTCTTCCCTCACATGTCTACATGGTTGAAGACTGAAAACTGCCTTTGTCAAATTTCTCCCAGTTTTTGGATGAATGACACAGAAGTTAAACTTGAAGGCTCAGCCATCGCCATAGGGTACACTTACAGAATTTGGGGTTAAGGAAGAAAAATTTACTCTCTGAAACGAAGACTAACATGATCCCTTATGAAATACGTTGGTCAGCCACTTGTGGGAATGTCCTCAATGGGTCATGTATTCAAGCAAGTATTTAACGATTGTGTCAGTAGTAATTAGTCTTTCCTAAAGTTCAGCAAGTGGGTAGGGTACTTTCCTAAGAATAAACAGGAATCTGAAAAGCAGCAACCCATTGTTAAAAAGGATTTCTTTTTAGTAAATCCCTAGGAGTGAATTGGTGGTGGAAATTCTATGGGGACTCCATCTGAGAAAACAAAGCAAACATTGTAAAAATAAATAAACAATGATACAAAATATGTAAAAATAAATTGTTTAAAATACTAAAATGGAGCCCCCTCCCCGGTGGTACAGTGGGTTAGGCCACAGCACTGCAAACTGGCCGCAGCCTCTTCAGTGTGAGTTCAATCCCTGCCCAGGGAGCTGACCCACATAGTGAGGGAGACCTCTCCTGTCTCTCCTGGTGCTTCCCTCAGCAGTGTGCTTAGTCAATCTGTTCTGCTCCCTTCTCCATCTCTAGTGAATCCTCTCTCACTGCCACTGCACCTCTGGTTTGTACCCCAGTTCTGTATGCATAACTAAATAAATTTAAAAAAAAAAAAAGGATGGTTTTGGTGGTTGGGAAGAAATAACTGCAAGGGCGCAGGCTAGTGAAGACAATCTGTGTCTCTGGGGGCTGAGGCACCCAGCTGAGCTGTGGCTTGTGTGGCAGACGTTTTAACAGAGCTGCTCCTACAGAGAAGACTATATGTGGCTGCTGGCCTTGTCCTTCTGGCTATCGGGTGAAGCTCTATAAGCCGCCTGTGCAGTAAGGACAGAGCGCGTGATGGACAGCTGCACATAAGATGTGGGTAGGAGTGATGGATGCATCCCTAGCCTGGTCCTTTCATAATCTTTTTCTGTCTTCTAGCCAGATGCAAAAGATCCAGCAGGGTCAGCCAAGATCTAAGAGTGCTGGGAGAGCCAGAGAAGGGAAAAGATGGTGTTTCTAAGTCATCATTTGGGAGAGAGCTGCCTCAGAGAGGGGACCGGTCAAGAATCCCTCACTGATTACTGCATGAAAAGAAACCTTTGCACTAAATCACCACTGATAGTCTCTGCAATGCAATAATGAGACTCCTCTGGTCAACACAAGAACTTAACTCTCTTTTTACCTTTATTAAATACACTCCCTGGCCCTCTCTGGTGGTGCAACAGATTGGGGCACAGCACTGCGAAGCTGGCTGTGGCTGTCTCAATGCGAGTTCTATCCCCTACCCTGGAGGTGTAGCAGACCTCTCCTGACCCGCCTGCTGCTCCCCTCAGCAGTGTACTTCATTGATCTGCCTGCTATTCTCCCTACTCTGTCTCTGGTGAATCCTCTCACCACCCCTGCACCTCTGGCCTATACCCCAGTTCTGTATGCATATATAAATAAATCTTTAAAAATAAAATAAAATTTTCTCTGTGAGAACACACCTTATTAGCTGATGTGAGTAGCCTGGTTCACTCTGGCCAGTGTGTTTATGTATGTAGATGAACAGGTCAGTAAGTTTGTATGTTTGATTTATATGAATAACTCTTTCAAGACTTGCTTGACCAGCACTAGACCAATGAAAATGATTTATGAACATACAAAACTGAATCTACAATGACACAATAAAAATTCAAAATTCCCTGAGGCTCAGCTTGCAAGAATGAAGAAAGCCTGTCTTTGTGTTAACCTTCAAGACATATGCCCATTATTTTGATATAAATATTAAAATTAGCTACCATCAAATTATAATAATATCCATTTCTATGAACACATCAGGATTTGGTCACCTAAACCATGCACAATACATCCTCAAATCTGAGTTATGAAAACAGTCTCCGCAAAGTCTAGACCATGCCCTACCTAGAAGCTGTGTGCTTAGGAATGACTATTTTAAGACATTATGTTTCCACAAGACTGGTTATCTGATATCTTGTGACAGTCTTCAATTCTTCTCCGTGTTAGAGGGCAGAGTAAAAAGCAAGAAAAATCTACTACTACTAAATAGACACAACAGCGACAATATGCAGAATAACAGCTGACTGTTATTCGAAATAACAGGTGACTAAAACACACAGGCCACCTCTCAACACATCTGGAGCACAAGGCCATTATCAGTCCACCTTAAACTCCTCAGTGAGTGGTAGCATGTGCACAGCTGTGCCTTGTGGGTGCAGGGCAGGCAGGGCACAAGGTGTGTGGTGTGTCCTTTCTCTCTTCAAGCAGCTTATCATTTATTGGAAAAAAGAAAAGAGAAAGCATATGAGGATTGTATAACAATGATGTTGCTTCACATATAATATTAGGCATAAGGACGGATAAATCTGGCGGCATAAAATATAGCTGGGGAGAGGACAGGTTACTTGGGGCAGGTTAGAAAAAACAAAGCAACATGTATAGATATCCTCTTCTTATCAATAACATTTTGGTGAGATTTTCATTTTTTATAGGGTTGGAAATATTGTGAACAGCGCAAACATGCACGAAAGACCTTAGGGGAAGTCCCACTATTGCTTGGGAAATTTCTAACTGATGAATCATCAAAGAAGCCAGGAGGTGGGGGGCAGTAGGGGGGAGGACGGGGTAACCTGAGCTGATTGACCAGTCAGTACTCTGGGGACGTGTGGGTCATCTGTGCTCCGAGCTGAGAGCTGGAGTTGTCCCCAAACAGGAAGCAGGAACTTATTGCATAGTCTAAAAATGGAGCGGCCACTTTGAAGTAAGAAGAGATGTCTAGTTTGCTTCTGGCTTGGTGACCAGTCATGATTCTGAAATTTCAGATAAAGATAGATTTGTCATTAAAGCTCTGTGGACATTAGTCTGTTCATTCATTCAAGAACAATTACTAGGTATCTGCTGGAGATAAAGCACCAACACTGCTATACAAAAGTAAGTCTGTTTCTTCATGGAATATTCTGTGGGGCGGGAGAGATGAGTCGATAGCTAGAGCAAAAAAAAATTGTGCACGTGTAATGACAGAGACTAAGGGTTACTGTGAGAGCCCCCACCCTCTACCACTGTTCTGTCCAGAGCACAAGTACAGTGGGTCAATCCTGTCACACACTGAAACTACCGTGAGCCCTACACTAGCCACCCACTCACTCTCAGCCTAGATGCCTTTTTCTCTAGGACCCTTTCCTGAACTCCTCTGTCTGCGCACTTCTCTGGGGGTGCTCTTGGCTATGATGACACCAGGCACTCACTTGACAGCTGCTTGCAGACCAGCCAGCACTGCCCACGGGGTAAGGACACTGCTTTCTCAGCCCCAGCATTATCTCCATGTGCATCTGGCACATGTCAGCTCTCTACAAATACTTGCTTGAAAGCACGCACTAATTAAAAATTAGCTTCATTATACAAGCAGCTTGTCTAATAGGTCCATCAGACATCAAAGAAAAAATGTCTATTGTTCACCTTTGAATGCTGTTTTTGGTTGCCTGGACAGTTCACAGTTTCATCACATGAAAATTCTGGGTAAACTGTATTTGTGTAGATGAATCGCTCGTACTTTTAAATGTGTAAACAATAAATCCAGCAGCTCTTAAGACTTTCCTCCAACCTGCACTTAACCATCATGACCAAGTACTCAGTACCGGCTATGCCAAGCCAGCGACACCTGTCTTGAGACCTTTGCCTCACTGAGTCTTACCAGGGCATGACACATTTTTAAAAGTTTCTCTTTTTTTCCCCTTCTCCATTTTCTTCTGGCAAATAAACTCATGACAATAAAGTGGTCAGATGAAGAAGACATCATAAAAGAGAACATATATCAAACACAACCTAAGTGTATAAAAAATACTAAGACAAAATGGCATTGATCTGGGATTCTAGACAAATTCAGGAGAACTGCTGACCATAACAAAGCAATTGTTGGCAGATATAACCAGGAGGAAGCTTTGTTGTAAAAGCAGCAGAAAGGGGTCTTCCCTTGATGATGGCAAAATTGGTAGCGTTTACGGTAATACTGAAAAATCACAAATGAATTTGTAATAAAAGTAAAAGTCCTGAAAGCTAACAAAAAACTTTTACACAAGTGTTTATATAATAGCATTATTGATTACAGCCCAAAGGTAGAATAATCCAAATGCCCATCAGGTGATGAATAGATAAAGGAAAGGTATTAGACCACATGGCTATAATTTAGCGATAAAAGCACTGAAATCACGACACAAGCTAGAACAAGGCTGAGCCTTGGGGACCTGAGGCTGAGGAAAGGGGCAGCCACCAGGAACTACCTATACAATTGCATTCACCTGAAATGCCCCAAGTAAGCATATCTATAGAGAACAAAATGGATTCGTGGTTGCGTAGAGCAGGAGTGTAAGAGAATATTGGAGTGCATAGCTAAATGGCATGGTGTTTCCTTTTGAGGTGATTCAAATTGACCATGAGGATGGTCTCATATATCTGTGAGATTACTGAATTGTACCTTTAAGTGAATTGCACAGCATCTCTTATAAAGCTGGCCTGAAAAATAATCTAGTAGAAATGGAGAAAATGGGGCTCTCCCTGGTGGTGCAGTACGCTGGAGCACTGCACCGTGAAACTGTGGCGGCTCAGCACAAGTTCAATCCCCGCCCCGGGGGTGACCCACAGGGCAGCGCAGACCTCTCCTGACCTGCCTGCTGCTTTGTCATCTGTCTGTTCTGCTCCCCACTCTGTCTCTGGTGAATCCTCTCTCACCGCCCCTACACCTCAAGCCTGTACCCCATTTCTGTATGCATAAATAAATCAAACCTTTAAAAAAAAGAAAGAAAGGCAGAAAATTTCCATAGAGGAAGTCATACTTAATTACTATTTTAGTATAATTTGCAGGAGCAAAAATAGGCAGATGGAAATGCTAAGTGGTTGCCTTTGATTCCTAAGACGTCACAGATGAAATTTCATGTCTCGTGCTGCTCTGAACGCCAGTTGTATAGGATGGGGTAGAGAAGAGCCTCCTTCCATTGTAGACAACGGAAATGTCTACAGATCAGGACCCTTTTGGGGAGGCTGCTAGAACCTGCAGCTACTAGAACCTTGTTCTCTGTTTTGTCATGTCTGTTATCAGAGAACATGTGATAAGGTCTCCTTATTTATAAATAATTTCACATTTTTTTTTTTTTACAAAGGAGGACATATTACCAATGAAAATGCAAACAAAAAATATATTACAAGTCAATTTAGACAAGGTCATCTGGAGTCATTTAAGCTTCTAAAGTGCTGATTTGGGGACATGATACAACTAATTTAAAGACAGAATTGTAAAACCAGACACTCGTCACATAATATGTGAAGAAACTCAGAGGCTCATTTAACTGATATAAAGGGGGAAAGAGTTGAGGAGGAAGGGAGGAAAGAAAGGAAAATAATTAATATGCAAATTTCTCATGATTGGCTATGGGGGCCTTCTCCTTTGAAAACGGGTATTTATCATGCCAGTCATGATAAAACATGAAAAAAAAAATATCAGGTAGAAAAGTTTTCATTATTACACATAAAGATTTGGATTCATCAAGGAATTTTAAAGAGGTTTCCTTTAGCTGAAATTCACATCATAAGTTCCATAAGTTCTGGTTTTATTGCTGTTTCTTCATACTTAGAATAATGTGATACATTAATTCAAAGAAGAAATAAAATGATAATATTTACCTTCTGCTTGTGACCTATTGAAGAATGCTGTATTTGTTACACCATCTGCAGACCAATTAACGGGAATATTCCATGTGTAACTAAAAGTTTTAAAAAAGAGAACTTTAGGGCCCTCCCTGGTGGCGCAGTGGGTTAAAGCACTGCGCTGAGAAGCTATGAGTTGGATTCCCGCCTGCCCCGGAGGTGACCACATGGTGTGGCAGACCCCTCCTGACCCGCCCGCTGCTCCCCTCAGCA